ACTAAAACTACTAAAGTGTAAATTAAATGTAGAAGTCATTACTCTGGCTCTGTGTCGAGGGCTGTGTGTGTAGACTCTTCTGATTGGCGTTATCATTAAATATGAGTCTTAGCTTTCCAGCCAAACCCAATTTATACAATTTAAATCCAGTTTATGGACCCGAGTGTGCAGAAATATTCAAATACACACACAGAAAACTGCAAGGGATTAGAATAAAGTGGGCATGTCGTTACCCATAGAACCTGTTTTCATTCAGATATGTTGATGTATTTAGGCTCCTTCCCACTAAAACAGTACAGGCCTCCCCTCCGGTCTCCCCCCTGCCTGTATACCTGCACTGACGCTCCCCTCGCTGTTTGTTTCAGCTGCCGTCCTTATACAGCAGACCTGAAGCAGAGCCTCAGTACGTGGAGCCAGAGGCGGGGCAGGTGGAGCAGAGCGTCGCATCGCTGAGGAAATGGGCCGAACCGTACACCAACCAGTGTCAGGTGTGTTTATGTGTGACGATGACTTCGGGACAAAAAGAGTGTCAACAAAGACGTTAAAGTTAGGAAATCTAATATTATATGTTTAACTATGTTTTCATTAGTGTATAAATACATGAATATACATAAATACGTTAAAATGAGCCGTTCTTATCTAAAGATGCTGCCTGAAGGGAAAACCAAACACTGTCTCTAGATAGAGAGATATATAGATATTTTTGGGGGAAATTACGAGAATAAAGTCGTAATATTGCGAGAATAAAGTCGTCAGAACTCTATCGAAGCTTTTTTCTCATTAAAACAACTTTTTTTCTTGTATCTTCACATTATTCTCGTATAATTATGACTTTATTCTCATAATTTCCAAAATTGTATTTATTTATTTTTCCTCTTGGTATGGCCCTAATACTCCGTAAACATGGTAATTAATCAAACATAACTGTTTCTGTAAGTTGTGAGTTTAGAAATCTATAATACAAACATAAGGAGTCAGATTTATGTTTATATATAATAAATGTATCAAATATATCTTTGTGTCTGTCAGTACAAACTTTCAAACTTTAATTTCAGTCACATGTTTTTCATAGATTTTGTGGCCATCTGTCCAGAAGCCCGAACCTTCCTCCTCACATTCCTCACAAACGTTTTCAGATCCTCCTCAGTTCAACTCTTCACTTTTCATTCCTGATGTCGTTGTTCTCGGTCAGCTGTTACGACTCCCTGCCAGGGCTCGATATCAAGAATGTCCCATTGTCCCCAGGGACGAATAAAAATAGCAACCAGGGACACAAAGATACAGCGTGTGCCACAAAGATAAATGTCTCATTACAACTTAAAGCGTTACCTTTTATGCATCTTGGAATATTTAGTATTAGGTGCTCAAGCTCTACACAACGTCTCACACAGGTTTCACACACAAAACCAATGATAGAGAGATCACCTCCTCTCCTCTGGCGCCACACACAGGCAGTCAGTGTGGCATGTGGGGAACGCTTGACCTTCTCTTTCTCTCTGGATTAGGATGTTCCTGTAGCCTTTTATGTAAATAGTTGGTTTGAGCTAGGGCTGCACAAGTAATCACACTATTATTATATTATAAGCAACATCCAAACCTCCAAACCTCCAAACCGCAGAATGAAAAGAAAGTACTGTAGTCCTGCAGAGATACTCGGGCCTACAAATCTTCTTGACACTGAGGAGAAAAGTTAATTTCAAGCCCTGCTCGCTGCAGGAAATACAGTCACATGAGTTAAGAGTCAAAGGAACTGCACACCCTGCAGCTTTTGCTCGTTGATTTCCACAATAATGAGAGAAAAAGAGACACGCGTGACTTGAGCAACAAGTGGTTTATTTGAACTGACGCCTTGAGTTGAAACCTGCCCAACAGGAACTATTAAATGAAATAACTGCTCCACCATATGAGATCTTTTCCATTATGTCTGTTTCAGTCTCAGCATGCATTTGGGTGTGACAGTTTATCTGATGCAAAGACACATCTGCTCTCCCGGAAACGTCACGTGACTCTGGTCCCCACATCTGTTTGGGTTCTGCGTCCTCTCTGCTCTGTTTCTCTGATCCTGCAGGATGTAACACTCTTCTGGTTCTCATCGTATGCACGTGTGCAGGAAAGCTCGGACTATCTTTAAAATCGAACTCTGCCTCAGGGAACTCTAAAAAAGCCTGAAACAAGCGAATAGAGCTTCAGCATTTGACTCTCTGATTGTGCAGAAAGAAAAAAATCATATTATTTCATTCAGTTTTGTGGTAAAAAAGATAAAAATGCTGTTTAATAAATGAACTTTTCATCCTTTTTTTGTAGCAAACGAGCCAGGCTGCAATGGAGAGAGTTGAGGTTAGTGTAAGAATACTGCCGTTATGGTTGTTATGTGAAGGAATGTTCCTCAACGTCGTCTGGTTGTCGGATGACCACGACTTTCTGAGCTGACAGCTGCAGCTCGATGACTGATGTCTTCGCCTTGACACCACAAAAACGTGTCCAAACCATCTGTGACAAAGCTCTCGGCTTTCTCCTTCCCCTTGCTGATTATTTTTACACAGTGTCTTTTGCACCGTCATGAAACGTTACAGAAATTATATTATATTATTGTGAGGGCAGAGGATAAACTTCATCTTCCTATATAGGTCGTAGTGAGTGCGCTTACTCCTAAAGGCTTTAAAGATTCAATTAGTCATTGTTTGACTAGATAACAGATGTATTCTATAATTTATACATAATTTAAGAGTTTATTGGGCTGCATAATTATAAAAATAGATGTTTTCCTGCTATATTTACAAACTATTAACAGCATCAGAAACTGTAACATCCTGGATTAATGTTATTTTGGAAGCGGTGCTGCAAATAAAGCTCATTCTCATTATCGATCAATCTGTCGATCATTTTCTTGATTAATCGATTTAGTTGTTTGTCCGATAAAATGTCAGAAAATGGTGAAAAGAATTATATAGATCGTCAGTTTACTGTCATAGAGGACGAAAGAAACCTGAAAATATTCACGTGAGAAACTGAAATCAGAGAATTTTGTCTTGAAAAATGACTCAAAAGAATCGATTATCAGAAGAGTCGTTCATTTCTCTTTTATCCCTCTGCTCCACATCTGATCTCTCTTTATATGATTTAAATGAATCAGTACAATCTTAAAGGATCATAGCTGTTACCGTGTGACCTTTCAGTCGTTTCACACTCTTAGTTGGACTTGTCATAAAGACGTAAGAACTCAAAACAATGTTTATTGCACATTTTGAAGGAGATAAAAGTTGTTATGAGATGAAAGTAACCTGCTCTCCTGTCTCACTCTGTCTGCTGATGATCTCTGGACCCCAGAAAGTATACCGTACCGTGGAGCCCACGATCAACACGTCCGTAACGACAGTCACAGGTGAGAAAACACGACTTCAGTCAGTGCAGTGTGTGCTGCGTTTGAGCTGATCTGAGATACAGAATGATCACATGATAATGGATCCTTCCTTCCCGCCTTATTTTATTCTTCAGGTGCATACCAGTTCCTCAGTGACCCTCCTCCCGACCTCTACCCCAGTGTAGCGGTGGTGGGCTTCACTGGCTTCCTTGGACTTTATTTGGCCAAAGGTAACTTCTGCAAGTTCACACTCAGACACAAACACACACTGACCTGCTCTCGCTGACAGAGACCAGTCAGTTCAGAGGCAGCAGGCGGGATAACGAGTGAGCACGAGGCGATGAGGCGATGCAGCGGCTCACTCACACCGCCACCGAGACGGAAAATCTGTTACACTGTTCATCCGTCTGCAGCGCTCCAGTTATTCTGTAAAATAGCTCAAGGTTATTCAGTTCAGGCCACAATTTTCACTTTCAGGAGACAATAAATAAAATAAAAGCAACCATGAACCCTTAAAAAGTAATTCCCTGTGGCCACTTTATCTCAGTTTACCTTGTGTACTAGTTGCTAAGTTTAAAGTATTATGGAAACATAAATATAACTTTCCTGCCATCCTATTTATGAAGACTGGGGTGTGTTTGTTATTGCAGTCAAGAGGGCGTACCAATAGGTTTATATGCCTCTCCACGGATAACATTTCTCCCTGTGTGACAGTTGCAGCAGAGGTTTAGCTGTAGGAAAGTGAGGCAAAGAGTCTGCATGAGGTGAAAGAGAGACAGGTGCATTTCTTACAAACAACAGGAAGTTAGTGATTGCAGTTTGGCACGTTGAACGCAGCGAGCAGCTGGAGCAGCAGCGGCGTCTGTGAGACACAGCTCATGGAGGCGATTGAGGTACTTTAAAAACATTCAGTCCGATTGCAGCAATTTGCATCAGAAATTTGCATTCCTTTCTCAGAGTGGTAACTTATTCAAATCTTAACACGCAGACAACAAAACACACTGATATCATTCAGCGTGACTTAAACTGTCCGAGGACATCGTCGTCTTTGGTGTCGAGTGCGAACAAACATCCAGAAATCTGCTTAGAAAGAAATAAGCTGTGTCAGAGCTCAAGTCTCCTCTCTGGTCTCCTCTCTCTACATTGGGCAGATTCTCCCTTTAACAAGTCAAATAAAGGAGTGCTGCACTTTATGAGTAGCTGCTGTTTGTCTTTATGAAAGAAGGTCACTTCAGGTATGACAGCCGCTCCTTCACTCTGAAGCGCGTTAACACCTTCGCCCTCTCTCTTTCAGGCTCCAAGGTGAAGCGACTGGTATTTCCAGTTGGACTGATGGCTCTGAGCGCCTCCATGTTTTACCCTCAGCAGGCTGCATCCTTACTCAAGGTGTGTGTGTGTGTGTGTTGTTGTGTCACAATCTCTTTAGGTAACAATAGAGCTGCAGTCGGCAACATCCCAACATCTGTGTAAAGCTGCTGTTACATCAGATTGTTTCATGCATCATACACGTACAAATACAAAAACTTTATTGTCCACAATGTGGAAATTTGTCTTCGGTTTCACCGTAAGGCATGTCATAAAAACATAAAGACATTTATAAAACTTCAGGACAACGTCAGGAGCACCACTCTGTATCCTCGTCTGCCGGATCCTACTTTCATTTATTACCATGACGGCATTTGGGAAATAGAAATAGTTCCAAGAAATCTTATCAGCCATCAGTAATCCGTAACGCCCTCTGAAGGTCGTTACGGTAATATGGTTGTACACAACTGTATCAGTTCTATAACTAAATTTAGTTAAAATAACTATTTTTATTGCTGTTTTGTTTTGTTTACACCTTTGCATCTCTGTTAAACTGATAAATGGACTAAATACTATATATCCGAGCGAGACAGTCAGACCTGGTTTCCTCTTTACGTGTAAATTAGGCCCTAAATGGGTGAATGTGAGGGTCCATCTATAAGCTTGACTATCTGCATAGTTAACAAGTCAGCAAAAGCGAAAAAGAATGAATCTGTTTACACCTCTTTATTGAATGTTCCTCCCAGTACTGAAATATACTCGAGGAAACATCTGTGAAAGCAGGAACAGTGACATACATTCAGTTTATTGGTTGTTTTATTTTTAGGTACACATTATTATGTTAGGTAGGTCTTTCTTACTGGGACCAGTGAGCCATAAAGTTTATTCTAGCGGAGTTTTTCAACAGGAAAGAGGAAAAATCCCACCCTCACCCTATAATCTGTGTCTGTCCAGCTCTGTCGGACTTCACGTAGATTAAAACTTTCCAGGCAGGTCTCATGCTTTTAGTTAGTACTGTATCAGTGTTTGTGTGCGTTTGATCTGTGATTCGCTTCCTTTTAGGAAAGCACAACCCTTTCCTGCAGGAAGTCCTGGCTGTGAATGGTGTTTCTAATTCCCACTGATGTCTGGGTCATTTTATTTACTGTATTTCCTCCCCGAGAGCCGACAGGGCACCAAACACAGAGACGCAGAGGTCATACAGACACAGAATACAGAGGCACACCCCGATTCGATCACACTTCAGCTCCTAACACATGCAGAGATGAACAGACAAACAGGGCAGGGTGCAGATACAAAAACACATGAGCCGGCGAGATAAAAAAGAACAAGTTGAGCCAGTTGTGTGCAAGTCAGAAGATTTCTCTGAAATTTGAGGGAGGTGTAAAAGAAAGTTAGAAAATAACTAAGTATGAAGGGAAAAGTTTCAAACTCAAAACCCCAATGCAGTATTTTTATTTTAAATTCTGTAAATTAACATTTTGGCAAGATGTGAGCTGTCAAAACTTTAAAATCTAAAGATTGCATCAGTTATGAATCTAGATTTCCTTTTTTGGATTTGTATCTGCAAACTAGAGCCTCTCCAGTAACGGTGTGTAGTCTTCTTCAGTTCTTCATACAAGTCAAAAGTCACCGTTGAGTTCTTAAGGTTCAGTGACATATCTCTGTCCAGGTAATTGTGATCATCTGTATTATTGAATATTTAGAGACTTGTTTTCCAGTCATGGAAACACCTGGAAATGGATTAAAATGACCAAATATCCTGGATGTTGTCCTGTAAATGTTAAATTGTACTCCTCCTCACTCATATTGCCTAAATGAAACCTGAGTTAGAGGAAGACTGGAGTTGAATCACCGGAGACGCTGCAGTAAAAATCAGCTGTGGTGAGAACAAAGGAAAGCACAGTGTGAACCTGAGTCACTTCATCATGAACCTGCATAATTAGAATAGGACGAATATAACTGGCAATAATGTGTCAACACTAACTCTTATCAGTGTGTTTTCCACCAGGTGAGTCGTGACACGGTGTACACCTGGGCTCAGCAGGGCCGCGTCGCCATGGAGACGCTTTGGAAAGAGCCGCCGTTTGGTAAACTGAAGGTGAGTCTTTGTGTTTTCTGTCAGTGTTTAGAACTGTATCATTACTGTATGAACTCATGTATTCTCACGGCTGTTCTCACTAATGTGTCTTTTTGTTTGGGGGAGAAGAAAGAGACGACAGAGAGCAACGACACGACCAGCTGAGACAGCAAGAAGACACACACACACACGCCTCTCCATCCCAGTAACACACACTCACGCCAGTAGATTAACTCCCAGAGCCTCACGTCAGGGCCTGTAAGCTGCAGTATTTAAGTTTATATCCCAGAACTCCCTCCTGTTTCCTCTTAAGTCATTCCTGAACGCCAACACCTGTTCCAAGAAGCAGGTTTACACATTTTTCTTTTCAGTTCATATTCCAGGTTTGTGAATCTGCTTCTTGGAAGAGTCCCTCAGCTCTTCCTCCTGTTATCATTCCTAATCTCTCCTTCAGTGACCTCAGCTCTTCCAGTTTCTGATTTGTTTAACAAAACAGGGTTAGGGTGTCAAGTGTCTGCAGTGTTATCGACAACACATCCACAATGTGTGCCACCACCAACACCGCCCCGCAGACAGGCACAGAGACACATGGAACTGTTGAAAAAACATCAACAAAGGAGCTGAACGATTAGTTGATTCACAGAAAATCACTCAACTATTTTGATAATAATAATATTGGTGACTCCAGCTTCCCAAATCTGAGTTATTGCTGCAGTTGCTTGTTTTACTTTGTAATAAACTGAATATCTTTGGGTTTTAAGCTGTTAGAAGACATCACCTTGTGTTCTGGGAGCGATATGGACATTTTGTTTTCTCATCTTTTATGGACCAATTATTTAATGAACCCCTAAAAGGAGCAGGACCAATGTTAGAAAACACAAATGGAAGGAATTTTCCTCTTCTGAACTCCACTACTGAGGTTATTTATGTTTTTTAGTGTTATTTGTGTTAGTAGACTATCTTAAAAACATTTTTGGTGCACATCCGTCCTTTTTAAAGCAACACATTTGGAGGATTGTGCAGCCTTGTGTGCTTTCTGAGCGCTTAGACCAACACACGGTACATCCTGATATCAACTCCTGTTTACTTTAAAGGAGTAGTTCAACATTTTGGGAAAAACACACTTTTCTTTTCAGGTTCCTGCTGAGGGTTAGATGAGAGGATCAATAACACACTCACATCCGTACGATAAATGTAAAGGTGGAGTCAGCTGCTGGTTAGCTTAGCATAATGAATGGAAACAGGGGAAGCAGATAGTTGAAAAACAACACAATGTTGTGGTTTTACAGCTGTTGTGTGGTGGATTATTTATTTTCTTGACCAGCAACTTCCTTCAACTTTCGACTTTATTTTGTCCTCTGAGGACAATTGGATTTTCCAGCAATGCATAGTACAATACATCAAGAACACAAACATAAATACAGGCCTAACAACAGTGGTTGCTGGTCCAACCTTCACTGGGTACAAAGCCACTGCAGCAACAACATCTAAAACCAAGTGGCAACCTAACCTGCTGCTAGCTGTTTCTATATATTCAAAGTGCATCTATCTTTTCATCTAACTCTGAGACAAAAAGCAAATATTCATCTTTCCCTCCAGCCTTTCCTCTGCATTATGAAGCCACAGTAAACTCCTCCAGGAGAGCTGGGGTCAGTCCTGTGATATCTTTGGTGTAGGACGTGTTCAGTGTGTTCACAGTGTTAATATTTATTTCAGCATTAATACTGCTATGCTACAGTAAAGGGCCAAATAATGTGTGTACTCTAGCTTGATTTACTAATGAATGAGCTGAACGTGTTATTGTCCGTGTCTGATAATGCACTGTATATACTGTATGAGGTTTTATTGTAATTTAATTAAACCTGGCATCCGACTGAGGCGACGCATTTCTTCATCTGTTATTCAACCAACAGAGTGATTCATAAAGTAAACCTGTGTTTGTCTGTACAGAGATGCTGGTTCGAAAATAAATAAAATGTATTCAGTGTTTTGCAGGTGGAAAAAAAAAAACTCCTGCTAAATGATAAATGTATAAATGTATTCTTTGATTTACGGTTAAATTAATATATAGTATCACTAAGACTGGCTCTGTTTAGGTAATCCTGGTGTTATTGAACGCTGACGTTCCTACATCAACATGAAGCTGGTTATCAACTGTTTGGATGTTTTAATCCCCACTAAGAGTTCTTTATTCAAACAAATCACACAGCATCATCAGAGCAGGAGGGGAGCACTTAATCAGATCCACAGGGGGGTTTCTGGGGCGCCCTGGTAGCTCACCTGGGTGGGTGTCATCCCCTCTCTTTTCTCCCCCATTTCTTGTCTATCTGTCGAGCTTTTTCTGTCCAATAAAAGGACAAAAGCCCCCCCCCCAAAAAAAGTGATAGTGAAACATTAATAGAATTAGAAACTGTAGAAACGATACCCAAATATGACACCGGCCTCTTTAAAAGCTTTCTAAGCTGCTGAGATATTTAACACCTCAGAGCTGGTAACACATGACAACAGAGGACAGGATAGATTTCCTTTCACGGTTGCTCCTACAGACCCTGAACTGGAACAGACTGGTTCCCGGTGCTGACTGCAGGCTTGAGGGAGGGACTACACTTTCACGAGAGCGTGTGTGAATGATTTGTTTAGTTGTGATTGTTGTTGTTGTATATTTGCTTTGTAGATTAGTTGGTAATCCATAAAATGATGAGCATTTATTTTCCATGTCTTTGTCTCATGATGAATCAATAACTAATAAAGGAGTTAAAAGTTTGTCTGCTGCTAAAAAGATTAACATATTAAGAAAACATGAATGTCTGATAGGGTTTATTTATAATTTACCATCCTGAGGAAGTAACATGTAGTTATCTATAAAGTTATCTGTTGGTTAAAAGTCGTCTGTTCAGTGTAAATTCTGTGCGTTTGAGGCCCTGTGAGGAGCTGTTTGTTCTTTGAGTCCAGGCAGCAGGAAGATGTATAGAGCGATCATGTGAGCAGAGGTCATGTCCTGTTGTTGTGGCTGAGAAAGCCTCTGCTGCACTTCCTCACAGAAACCCTGCAGAAGGTTCACTGCTCAACGAGACTCTTGAGCTCGTGTAAAACAAAAAAGAGACAGAGTGCTGCTGAAGTTCCCTGAAAAGCATCGGCGTCTCTTTACGTTTAATCTCATTTCCTCTCTTTTCCCTTTTCTCTGTCTGGTTCTGATTTATCTTCAGACCCCTGATGTAATGTTTCTGCACACAGAACGGAGGATGTGATGTAACTCTCCTCTGCTGTTGGATCATTTTAGGGGTAAACTAAGTTTATTCCATTAAATAAAAAGACTTTATTTGAACTCTTAAATCCTTAAATCCTGGGTGAATGCTGATTAGAAGCATTTGTCAGCTATAAACAAGTTTTTACAGTTTTTAAAGCAGCATGAGGCGCCTAATTTCTAAGAAGCCAAATTAAGTACTACTCTACTAAAAGTGCGTCGGCCAAATCAAACATATTAATGTCAAAGGGAACATTTTAAACTGACTCAACAAAGAGGAACAGAAGAATACAAGTTTTATGTGAGCGCTCTTGTTCCTCTTACGATGTAGTGGTTTAAGTTCCTTAAAATCTGCTTAGAACATTTTTACTCTACAGATACTGAACGAGTCACTGCTGAAGTAGCAAAAAAAGTATCTCACGGGTTTCTCACATCACTGTGTGAAAAGCACGTCCAGTCTTCACCACAGCTTTCTGTTCCCTTCTTACCGCTCAGGGACAGACTGTGTGACCGTTCTGGTAACACCAGCAGCAGCTTTTACTGTTAATGATACACTGAGTCACACTGAGCTTCTATCAGTGGGGAAATGTTACTACGATGCAAATGATATGAGCTCATTTTAAGTTCATTTTTCACTTCCAGCCTCTGTGAGTTGATGTGAAAGTCAATGACACACAGACACAGGGTGAGCAGCCGTTAACCATGTCAATGTCTTTGCCAGTGGTTTCCAATCTGGGGGGTGGGGACCCTCATTAGGGGTCAGCAAAGCCTCACAGGGGGGGTCGCGGTCCTTGCTGATTATGACTTCTGTAAGAAAATGTAATAAATCCACACAGTAAGCTAATATCTCAGCATCTGGTTCCCTTCTGTGAAGTAAAGTTAGTTGTAAAAAGCGTCAGGGAGAAGAAAATACTGAATTAGTCCAAAAAAAAAGTCTATTAAGTCTGTATGAAGGTTAAAGAATCATAAAAAAATACATAATACAGACAGAGAATTGTATAAAAAGTTCCCTAAACAGGAAATAATCTGCTCAAAATTCAGCCAAATCTACACAAACTTCCTGCAGTTACTGAACTCACTGTTTTATTAATATGAAAATATCCATAAAATATGTCAGTCAGTTTATTAAATGATCGAAAAGTGGACTACGCTACAGCTACGAGTCACCACACAGTCACAAGCTCTGCAGATTGAGAATATGATGGAAACTCATGAGACCATGAGAACTGTGAACGTTTAGCTTCCTTTTAATGCTTACTGTATTTACTAGTCACAAGCTGAGGGGCAGAATAGAAACTGGTCCCACATTGCCCAGGACAACTAATATAAAGGGCAGAAGTGATAATATTATTACTTCTTTCTGAAACTAATGCTGTTTGAGAGCACCAATTATTGATTTGAGGGTTAAAAAAAGACTGATTTGTGGCACAAATGATCAATATCTTACTCTTAATGGCCACCTGGCTTTATGTGATCACACTCTCTGACCTGCAGGAGTGTTTTCACAACTCCACCTGGTGAATGTTTAAGTCTCACAACTCAACATAAACAAGACCCACAACGAGTGGCTCAAAGGTCAGAGACGTATATGTCCAAAGACTGTTCTGGAGCCATCGTAAATGTGGTAACAACAAATAACAGCTATCTCTGACAAACTGCACACAAACACTGTGACCCGCTTCAGAGGCGGTCACCGAGGCCCTCACACCACAGGGAGCGTTCAACTCAGACCTTTATGGTTGCAGACGGCTATTAATACAAAACCTCACAAGTTATAATGAGGTCGGGCTCAGGGAGTTATTAGTTTTTTTTATTTCCATTTGCTTTTGAATTCAGTTTCCAGTTTTTATTAGTTTCTGTTAGTTTTAATATAATATGGGATGTATTTGTCAGAATAGATATTCTAATACTCAAATACACAAAGGATCTGCTGACAGATTTGACCAAAACTAAAGACAGTTTCTGTTTCTCTTTATTTTAGTTAAATGAGGTAGTAAGGACACTAAATTTAAAAAAAAAAAAACGTCACAGAAACACAGACGTTTAGTTTTAGTGAACTATGTAAACTTTTTGAGCCTATTTTGTTTATTGTGTCGAGTCCTAAGAGGCTTCACACACACACACACACAAACATTTTAATAAACGTTTCACTGGAAGAACTTTGGGGGAAGTTAAAGAACTTCCTCCCAGAGCTTCTACACACTGTGTGAAAGTGTGAAACAACATCGAGGCTTCTACATAAACACCTTACTGCTATGAATTAATGGCAGTTATCTAATGATTGTCACTGACCAACTTCTTACTGGTGTTGACATACTGTGAAAAACCAGCGTCAGAATTAAGAAAAGCAAAAAGGATTATTCACTTTTTGATTAAAAGCTTTTCTTTTTATAAATGTTTCCTTGCAGCGTTAGCTTACTTAAGCAGATTTAAGTAAATAAAGTAAAGATTAACATATTTAAAAACACACCCACCCTCTGCAGATACTTCCTTTTAATTGAAATGAAACTGAAAACTGAATCTTTGTTGAGTCACAATGCGACTCTACGCTGTTGAACACACTTTCCCTCCAGTACCCAGCGAGCCAAAGGACGAGTCCACTCTGTGATCGGTTATTATTTTATTGAAAACTTAAAATGCTCCGATGCCAACACAAAGAAATTAATGTTTAGAGTAAACGTGAAGTGATTCAGATTGGTGCGTTGGCAACAGACAGAAGGTTTTCTAAAGATTGTGAACTACATATAGAATCATAATACTGTGATAAATTATTCCCCTTTTTAAAAAGCTGAACTTTATGAATCTTCGCCTGAACGGAGGAACGACCCGAGGAGTCCGACGCAGAGGCCGAGCTCGCCGTCTCTGGTCAGACCCTCGCGTGTCCTCCTCTCCCTGCTCTGCTCCGAGCCGGACCGCCGTCATTCCTCGGAGGGAGTGGCCATCTTCACGAGGCTGTTCTTGTCGAACCTGAAGAGCCTCCAGCCCTCCTCCTCGGAGAGATCCTCGGCGCCGCGCCTTTTGTAGAACTGGACGGACGGCTCGTTGTTCTCCGCGACGACGAACATCATGCCGGTGCAGCGCGTCTTCATCGCCAGCTGGAACGAGGACGAGAGCGTAAAGGGAATATTCCAACAGGACACATGTTATACCGTAAAGCCTACGTTTCCCAGAATGCAACTGGTTGGTAAATTTCAGAGTTTTCTGTTAAATACAAACACAAACTGGAGTTTTTAAACTAAAATAAGGTTTTTGAAAGCAAAATTTAAACACGAGCTTAAAGATCTGATTGTTTTAATTTATCTTACTTCTAGATTTTAAATGGAGCTCCATTTCTCCAACGTTTTCCTGCCTTTTTCTTTCCTTTCTCATCTAGAAATTGGTGTTTGATACATATTTAGTGTTTAACAAGAACAAGAAATATAACGTTTGCAGTCAGACTCAGATCTTTAGATCTCCTTCAAGTCCCTTCTTAAAAAACAGACTTTAATTGGAAAGTTGTTCTCGTTTTATCTGGTTGAAATTAAATTCTTTAAATCTGTAAAGTGGGTTTAGAAAGTTCTTTAAATTATTATTATTCTTATTATTATTCTTATTATTATTATTCTTATTATTATTCTTATTCTTATTATT